GGTCATCACCCTCCGCCGGCTCAGGAACGTCCTCTGGCAGCTCGATGATGGCGATGCCAACCGGGACGCCGTCATAGTCGTAGACCACCACAACACGACCATCGAGGTCCGCGGAGGTAAGGCCGGTCGTCACCTCGATGTCATTCACTGCCGTTGGGAGGGAACCTTGAATCACATAACGCACCTGCGGCCAAGGGTTCTGGGGGATGTCGCCCTGGTTCCAGTAAGGGTTGCCGGGTGCGTCGGGGCTCGTGCCATCAAAGATTTGGACACTGCAGCTGTTGGCCGCCGGACCGGCTGAGGTGCACCGCGGGTCTACGCCCTGAGTGAAGATCCAGCTGAGCGTCTGGGTGCCGTCGCCATCGTCGGACAACACCTGCCATGAATCAGTTCATTACCAGCATGACATCTTATGAGTGGTGACTGTTGGCAGATGCCATTGCGACAGCTGACAACTTTCAACCATCTTTACATGACCTCGCCTGCACCCCACCAGATGTCACAGGCAAATCCCCGTTGTAGCCAGGGAATTCCTCGAAGACCGTGGTGGTGGAGGGCTCAATGATGCCACATGCGATGCGCGCACCGGTCACATCGTGGATCACTACTGCACGTCCCAAGACGTCCTCGTTGGAAAGGCCTGCCTCCACAATCTCGGAAAGTACGTTTGCCGGGTCTGTGGTGGAGTCGTACCTCACCGACAACCAAGGATCTTGCGGGATGCTGCCCTTGGCTGCCGAGTGAGATTTCTCAACATACGCTTTTTGCGACTTTTGCTACAAAAGCTACATAGGTCAAGTGTAGAGCAAGAGAGGTACACAACACAAAACCATCATTGAACCGTGAATGCCTGCATCTACATGTAAACCCTGGGCTCTAAACGCTCGACCCTAAATTGACATGGTGTCCGTAAGTAGGGGCCTGAAGAACTGCGCACATGATATTGAGTGCTCTTTGCTATAGCTATACTTTCGGTGGACCCCCCCCCCACCCTGCAATAGTGACAATAAGGGATAATAACGATTATATTAAGGTCCGATTAACTTTCCTATTAACTATACCACTATTACAGGGTGAGGGTCCTCCTAAACTATACAAGGAATATGGAGCGTAATGTTGGTAAATGTTTACCCAGACTCTCCACCTACTCTGGGTTATATGGCCTATCTAGCCGCTTTTATGGGCGATCTATCCCCAACTGAGGGTACTAAACAGGCCTTGGTGCACCCCTATATTCGGCCCTACCAGGCACTGAACCTGGACCCTGAACACTTAACCCTTTCTGAACCCTAAATCCATGACCTTAACCCCCACGAGGATACCCTAGAGCCGTACAAGAAGGTCAAGATACCAAACCATTAGGTACAAATGCCATTTTAATAGGTACAGATCAGACCCAGTGACGCTGTCCCAGAAGTGAGGGCCCGTTGGTTCATCGCAGCTGGTGCCTCCACAGGCGTTCATGGTAGCCCTATTACATAACAAGTACCTAATAACTATATAGGTTCCTGGAATGGCTATATAGGGTTTGGGGTTTCGGGCCCTAAGCCTAAGAGTCCAAGTACCCATGTTACTTGGGATTTTGGGAATGGTAATTGTTGTAGTACAGGTTTTGAGCAAGTATGGATTCTTCTTCTTAGATACTTGGATCCGGAGGCTTTGCTAGCACATAATTTCAAAGAGCATCAAGGGTTGAAGGGGTTTAGGCCTATATGCCCTGGAACTTCTATGATCATTGAGACAACGAAGCTGTAGGCAAAATGATGCGCAAGTAGGCAAGAAGTATGCCTTTGCCGAGCGAACTTGCATATCGAGTAGGTATTTTGGGCTCTATACTCGGAAGTATGGAATCTTCTGGGTTTCGACTGTACCCAAGCAAACTCTAAACCCTAAACCCGAACAATATTAGCTTGGACAACCCTCTCAATACACGCCACTGTACGGTACAAGTTGTATCGCTCCACCCTAAACTCTAAGCAATTTGTAATACAAACAGCTAGGCGGCCTTCAACATCAAAACCTCAAAGGAGTCAAAAGGGAACCCAAAACAGGAAACCACGAGGATTAGTGATTAGGGTAAAGGGTTTAGGGATGTTTAGGGTATAGGCATGCTATTCGCCTTTAGGGCTTTCGGTTTAAGGCTCTAATAAGGACATATAAGGAATATACCTACGTTGACGAATCGCTATGTGGTTACCTACGAAACGGGAGCGGCATAAGTTGGTGATAATTACCCATAACCTCCTATGTAGTTCCTTTTTGGGTAGTATATTATACTTCCTTACCAAGCAGCCATAACAGACCCAAAAAGGAACTACACGGGAGCCCTTGGGTGATAACTTACAGGCTTCCAATGCTTATGCAAAAAGAGACGTACCAATGATGTCTTGTGTCCTGCCCCCACCCATCAACAGTCTATAGGGCTTAGGGTTTAGAGGGTTTAGGGTTTCGGGGTCATGTTAAAGGCTCTGCCCCCTTTACCCTAATATATCAAAGGCTCTTTGTAACTCTTCTATAATTATGATCCAGCTGTTAATGACTGGACCGTCAAGAGATGACAAGTTTCATTTGATGTTCCACTTTTTCCCCATCTGATTCTCCATTATTAGGGTAAAATCCCCAAACTCTAAACCCTAACCCCCCCTAACCCCCAAGAAGCATGTCTGGTCCAGCTGTGATCTTCCGACCGCTACGAACCCTGAGGGTCCCAGGACCCTAACATTCGGCCTGCTAAGAGGGCTTTACCCAAGGGCTTCTACTACGTAGAAGGGTATGGGTAGGTCCCAAATGCTATCATCTGAATCATGCCTGTTACCTAAAACCCTAATACGTGGGCACCTGGACCTTATATGAATTATATAAGCAGTTAGCGGCACTGCATGCTGGGCAATGCCTTCGTACCTCAACCCTCCTCTCTCACCTTTGGCATTCCAAGACCCGAGTAGTGAGTACATAGGCCGAAAGAAGGGGAATTAGTTGAAGGGTCCAGGTCCAGACTATTACCACAGTTTGGAAAACAAACCTGCCTGTTAACATCAACCCTGCGCAAACAGTACTTACTGCGGTGCAGGAAACTCCTAGTGTAACCCTACTCGGTGGTTTCTCAACAAAAGAACTTTCTAGGTAGATGGGGATCATAACGGGATTCTAGGGGCCCCTCATGCCGAGTACGCAGCAATTGGGTTTAGGCTTTTACTTACAAAATGCATACCAAGAAAGCCCGAACCCTGCCCCTTGCCAGAAGACACAACAAATAAATACGAATTCTTACAACCCAACATCCTTCAAGTGTCTCCTGTCACCTTGCCAGCTACCTATCCGGAACAACCAGCCGCATCTACCTATAATGCCTGTAGCGCAATCTGGTACAATGAAACCCATGCCCAGGCTGGTCAAAGTCTGCAAGTTCGTCAAACAACCAAAAGCAACGCCCTGCCTTCATGGATGTGAATGCCACAGCAGTTGGTACCGGTGCACGGGCCATCGCAGGCGGGGTCGAGGCCGGTCAGGCTGTAGGCCAGGCGGGTGGTGCCGTCGGGGAGGGACTCCACTTCCACTACTCCCTGTGGCTGGTAAGGAGATGAGGAGCCAGGGTAAGGGTCGAAGCCAAACACGTAAAGCTCGTCTCCAACCAGTGCCGGGGTCGTGGTGGTGGTCGTGGTCGTCGTGGTGGTGGTTGTGGTCGTGGTCGTGGTCGTCGTGGTTGTGGTTGTGGTGGTCGTCGTGGTTGTGGTTGTGGTTGTGGTGGTAGTCGTCGTGGTCGTGGTCGTGGTCGTAGTCGTTGTGGTGGTGGTGGTGGTGGTTGTAGGCTCGACTGGGGGTTCGTTGGGGTCCTGGTCGTTGACGTTGTCCGCAATCTCGTCGCGGTCCTCAGGCTCTGCGGAGCACACATCCAGGATGCAGGCGCGCAAGATGTCCTCCTTGGCCTTAGCATCGCCGGAAGTCGCGGTGCCCGGGTAAGCCA